TAAACATATTTCATCCAGTTTTTCTCAGTCTTACCCCCACCCCAATGCCAGCCTATGTTCAGGTTTTTGAGGAAACACCAAACTGCCTTCCAGAGTGGTTGTATCCCTACTGTATTTTTAAAAATTTTTCCCCCACTGTATTTTTATACAATGTGCACTTCTCAATCTCCCATCCCCTACCCCAACAATGCCCTGCTTCCACCCAGGTATTATTGCAAACTCACAGAGCAATAGTGCACTTGCAAAAATATCTGGTTAGAGGAGATAGATGCAAAAATGTAGAATGTGTCCATTAAATATGTAAAAGGATCTGTGAACATTAATTTTTTAAAAAAAATGACTTCTACCTGATCAAAGAACTAAGCTATTGATTTTTTTGTATGTGCAAAAAAAATTTATATTTAGAATTAGCTAAATGGACTCAGCTTAGATGATCCCAATTTTGTTGGCAACATCCAAAGCATCATAGTCAGAAGCAAGTCGAACATAAGCTGCCTTTTTTCCCTGAGACCTAATCAAAGTGTATGTCAACAGTCCAGAATAAGACGTACATTACAAAGTGGACTGAGGGAGGTGGAAGGAAAGAGGAGGGAGGAAAATGCATAACAATGAATGAATGAAACTCTACCTTTTCTGTAAACTTTCATTAAAATCACAATAAAAAAAATTTAAAAAAGTGTGTTGACTTTGTCCACATCAATGTCATAGGGTTTCTTTACGGTTTGTTTGATTTGGTGCTTGTTGGCCTTGACATTCACAAGAACACAAGTGTGTTGTGAGGGGATAGTTGACTATGGCATAATGGTCAAATTTGTTTCTCCTAGGGCACTCTTTTGGGGGTATTTGGGCTGCCTTTGGAGTCTCAGTGTCTTCGGCCACAGGAAGATGGATGACATATAAATCTTTTTTTTTTTCCCTTTTGCTGTAGATGTCCTCCAGACTGCCTTCTTGGCCTTTAATGCCTTTGCTTTCATTTCAGCTATGGGAGGGGCAGGGGCTTCCTTTTTCACTTTTGGCGTCATCTTCGTAGAAAGTAAGCTACTGATCTTTAAAAAATTTTTTAATTTTTTTTTTAGCTATTGATTTTTGACCTTAAGGACTATGTTGTCGGAGACAGAATAACACCCATTCACAGACAAGGAAGACTTGTTAATATTGCTGTTATTTAAATATATACTCTAGCCCACCAAAGCCAATGATGGAGAAATTGAGGATTTCTAACAATTTCTGCAGTCTTATATTGGACATGAAATTAAGGTGTATAAATAATAGCTGGCGACTGGAATACAAATTTTGGAAACAAAGAAGCATTGGTGGTTGGAAAATAGGATCTTAGTGACAAAATGAGGCCATAGAATTTTGTACATCCAATGATTAATTAGTTTCAAATATTTGAAACTAATGTGAAAAAACATAAAACAGTAACAATTGACAAGGATCTTTCCTAACAGAATGAATGGTTAATGAAACTATGATATATTCACCCAAGAGATTATTACTCAACAATAAAATATTGATCAAGAATCAATATTTTCATACTTATACACACAGATGAATCTAGAGGAAATGATACTGAGTTATATAAGCCAGTCACAAAAGAGTAAATATTGTAAAAATCACTATTGTAAAACTAAGGAATTACACAGACTTGTTCTTGGATGCTTATCAGGAAGCAGAAGGGAGGGAAGGAGAATGAAAAGTAATAAGGAGATAAATTGGGTAAAGGGAAAATTCAATAAACAATAAGGAAGTGATTACACATTGCAATTAAGAAAACCGATTAATGTTCTAAAATGTGCATGTATAACTGAATTAAAAACTGGCATGATTTGTAAATTTTCACTCACTATAAATGAAAAAGTAAATAAAAATCTAAGACCAAAAACAACAACAAAACCCATTGTGAGGGAAAAAACCCAACAAAAACAGAAACATCCCATCTTTCTTCAGTCTCTCCCCACTCCTATTGAAACAGATGAGGATAGAACTGTTTAAAGGGATATATGATTAGATGTTATTGTTATGACAGAAGTCCAGAACGAAGGTAGCACAGTGGAGTGCACTTGAGTGGGGGTTGGGGGGAGGGATTGAATAACAATGAAATAATTTTTTCTTTTACTTTTCAAAAAGAAAATCTAACTGGGAGGAGGGGGTGGGTATGGAGAAAAGTAAAGCAATGAATGAATGGAAAACCAAAGTCTCTGTAAACTTTAATAAAAATCAATTAAAAACAAATAAAAAACCAGAAACATCCCAATATGTTAGAACATTGTTTTCTACACATTTTAAAATTTGACTTTATTACTATTCCACTAGTTTCTTTTAATAAGTTGTTGTAGTTGTTGATTGCCTTTGAGTTGAGCACAATTCATGACCCTATGAACAAAAGGCCTGAAGCCCCTCTACAACTATCGACATTTATCAAAGTTCATAGAGTTTCTGGAGGCATGTTGTTTAGTAAGTGGTTTGGTATGTTTATTTGCAATTTTTCTGATTACTAGCCAAAGTTAAACATCTTGGTTGCCAATATATTTATAAAATTTGTTGTTTATTAAAAATATAAGAATACATACAGTCAAATTATTTCTATATATAGGTTTACCTGTCAGATTCTTCATCATTCTTAACTGGAAAGAGTTTATTTTCAATATAAATGCTCTTTGCTTCCCTTTCCTGCTTTAATCCATAATCTTCATTATTTACAGAAAGATCATGTATGTTTTCTGACACTTTCACTTCACTACTTTTGCTGTTTTCTTTTGCAACCTTTAATGAAAGTTTGATACTTAGGATAAGTGTTATTACTTCATTTAATAATTATTTTCATGTGTTTGCCCATTCTGTAATTTGACTCTTAGCTTGTTATGATTTTTATCACTAAAAATATTTTTGAGCTTCCTTTCTTTTTATTACAGACCAGTGAAAGTTTTGCAAGTTCCCAATTATTTCTGTTGGAATTTTAAAATGCAGAATTTCTCAAAACGTCAGCCTTTTCTTAACTTGATTTCATATATATATATATGCGCGCGCGCGCGCACACACACACACACACACACACACACACACACACACACACATCTATTTAACATTTTCACCCCATTGGAGTAGCAGAGACAGATAATTGCAAAGACAAAGAGAATCTCAGTCTAGATGGTGAGACACTTATATCAACATTCACAGAATTGAAACTTTCTCTTTTTACATGTAGCTACTCTTTCTTCATTCTTCTAAAGATTCTTCTCCTTTTTAAAATTTGGATCCTGGGAATATAAAAACTAAAAGTGTTGAAAAATGAGAACAGTGAAACTGCTGATTTGTTGTTAGTGAGAAATTCTACAAAGTGGGTAATAGTCTCTAAATTTCACAAACAACACCAAGCATAAAACTTTAATCTGGAGTTAAAACAAAAATTTACTATCCATTCTTGTTTCACTATTGTCTGATAATGACAGACTCTTCCTAAAGGTCAAATCATTCAGCTCGAGCCTCTAAAATGGTGTTTGCTGGAATTTTATGGTACTAACGCAGATGATAAAATTCTATAGTACTGAATTCAGGAAATTAATCAGATAAACTATCTGATAAATTCAAATTAATGAATTAATTCAAATTAATGAATATGTAACTGCTAAAAGATTAATGCCTTATTGTGGCCTCCTACATCTTTTATTTTAAAGGAAACAGCTCTGGACCTTCTCAAACTTAAAAGCCAACACACTTTTGTCCTTTACTGTCTTGATAATAATTTTATAAAAAATTAATATTGCCAATTCTGCTGTTTTTTGATTGCCGTATATTTATTCCCCCCCCCACTTCACGCTTGTGTAAAAAAATGTGTCTCCTGTCGACAGTGTAGTGGTGGATCATGTTTTCTTATCCATTATCCTACTTATTTTATCTTAGCTAGTGTATTTAATTTATTCACATTCAGTATGACTGTCAATAGGTATGGCTTTATTGCTGCCATTTCGCCACACTCTTTTGTGGTGTTGCTGATTTGTTTCATTTTCTGTACTGACTTCATTTTGTTTATGGCTTTTCTTATATTTATCTTTATTGCTGTTATTCTGTGTTTACAAAATCTTCATGGACTCCCCTTTTTTTTAGTTGGATGGGGTTTTAAAATTTCTCAGAAGTTATTCTGTAACAGCTACTATTTTATTTCCCAGCCCCAAGTAGTTTATTCTATTTCAAAAATCACCTTGACTTCTTTTCCATTTCCATTAATTTTACACTTCTTTTTCTGACTTAATTGTGGCTGCCCCTACTTATAAATTATTATCTCTCATTCCTTTATTCTAGTATCATATGTTCACTACACTTTGCATATTTTTGTCTGGGTCTGTTTCTGAATGATGTTGTCAGACATCTTAATTTAATGTCTACGATTGTTGAGTTTGGATTCACAAAACTCCTTTTAATCTTTCTTCAGGTTTTAACAAATTCCCTTAGTTTCTCTTTATGCTGAAATGTCCTAATTTCATTGCCTTACTAGAGGGATAAGGAGCTCTGGTGGCCTAGTGGCAAGAAGCTGCATTGCAATCCTGAAGGCACACAGTTCAAATTCACCAACTGCTTCATGGGAGAAGGATGAGCAATTTCCTCCCATGTGATTAACTGACTCTGAAAACCTACTGGAGGGTCAGCTATGGGTCAGTTCCGACTCTACAGTAAACACACAACAACATTAGAGGGATAATTTTTCTGGGTAAAGAATTCTAGGTTGGAAATTTTTTCCTTTCAGAGTTTTATTTTTAATAATTTTTATTTAATTTTGCCTGCTGCAGAGTGTCAAGGACTGCAGCCTACAATATGGATTGAGGGTCAATGTCAAGAAGACAAAGATTCTCACCACTGGACCAATCGGCAGCATCAGGATGGATGGTGAAGAGATTGAGATTGTACACAGCTTTAGTTTGCTTGGCTCCATAGTCAACAGTCTTGGCACCAGCAGCCAGGAAATGAAAAGGCACATTGCCATGGGAAAGTCTGCTGTTAGGGACCTCTCCAAAGTACTGAAGAGCAATGGTATCTCTTTGAATACTAAGGTGTGTCTGATACAGGCCATGGTCTTTGCAATCACCTGTTATTCATCAGAGAGTTGGACAATGACCAAGGAGGATAGAAGGAGAATTGATATGAGTCGATATGAGTCGCAGGTGACTCGACGGCACAAAACAACAACAACAACAACCATCAAATCAGATCTGACTAGTACAGGAGATTGCCCTTCCTTCTCCAGCAGAGCGTCTGGTGGATTCAAACGCGTACCTCTGGGATTGCAGTTCTTTCAGAGTTTTTATATATGTCATTCTATCTTCTTGCCTGTGTGGCTTTTGATGAAAAAATCTAAGTTCAGTGTTATTTTCCCTCTTTTTGTAGGTCACTCTTGGTTTTTCTTAAGCAGCTTTCAGTTCTTTGTCCTTAATTTAGGAACACTTGATTATGATATGACTTGATATGATTCTTTTGAGGTCTGTCTTCTTTGAGGTTTTTTTTTTCAACTTCTTGAATGCGTAATTTCTCCTTTTTAAAAATGTTTGAGAAGTTTTCTTACAGCAAATCTTCTGTTCTCTATCTTCTTTTGAATTTCTTCCTTTTGTGGAATTCTAATACTACATTAAGTAATTCTTCTTGATATTGCCCCACATATTAATTATTGTATCTTCATTTCTTATCCTTCCTCCCCCATTTGCTTTTCTAATATATTATTCTTGGAGGATTTGGTCTCCATTTCACTAATATAGTGTTCCAATTCTTCAAGTCTGTTCCTTTGTCCTTTCAAAGTGTTGTTTATTTCTGAAATTTGGTCTCAATATTCTGAATTTCAGATTGCTGGATTTTGTATTGCTTCTAATTTTTTATCCATTTGGTATTGTTATTTTTTAAAAAACCCTCTAGCATTTTGTTTATGTGTTCTTGGAGTTTTCCTCAAACTTCTTTTCCATACTATTTTGACAATCATCATTCTATTGAATTCCTTATCAGGAAGTTTTAGCAGCCTTTCCTACTCTCAAATATTTTCTAGTTCTGTACTTCGGTAATTTTGTTTGTCTGTCTTGTCCTGTTGGATTTTTTGTTTCTTTGTAGTTTTTAGGACAGGTTTAAAGTTGTGTCTGTTGTCTATGAGACAGTATAGTGTTATTATCTTAAAGTAAAATAAGAGAAAACATGAACATGCAAATCTAAAATGGCCAGTTTTTGGACAAAAGTTTATTATGTATTGAACCTACTAAAAATGAATTTGAAGATTTTTTTTTAATGCTGCAAATGTTTCATCACTTAAAAATAAGTTCTGTCACTATACCTTAAACAGGGAGTTCTGATGGTCTAGTGTTAAGGTCACTATACCTTCAACAGGGAGTTCTGATGGTCTAGTGTTAAGAAGTTGCACTGCAATCCCAAAAGCACATGTTTCAAATCCACCAGCTGCTCTGTGGTAGATGATGAGTACTCGCCTCTTGTGCATCTTACTGCCTCTGAGAACGCACTGGGGGGTCAGCTGTGGGTTGGTTCTGACTTGAGGGTACACAACAACATACCTTAAGGAATGGGACCCTGTAATACATTTCCCTTTCTTTTTGACACTTTAGAGGCTGGAGAGTCAACTAAAACTTATTGCTGTAAAGTTGGAACCAATTCTATTGGGTTTTGTTATTATTGCTGTTGTGTTGGGGCTGATTCATAGATGACCCTCCAACGGGGTTTCTAAGGTAGTAAATTACATGAGATTTATTGCTCCTGTTTCTCCCATGGATCAGCTAGAGGATTGAAACCACATACTTTTGGGTTGACAGCACAATTCTTTTCGACTAGGCCTCCAGAACTCACCGGCAGGCTGTATATTACACAGGAAGAAATTGCTCACACTTCTCAAACTGAACTGCTGGTGGATTCAAACAAATTGAGAGGCCCCACCTTAGGCTTAGCAGTGCCATGGGGAATGCCACCAGTGCTCCATAACTGGACAGACTGGGCAGATTTCAGATTTATAGGAGTCAAAGTAAATTACTAATTAGGAAAGAAATTCTTAAATTCTGATTCAAACTATACACTATAATTGTGTGAGGTACTTACTATCTGCATTAGTTAAGTTCAAATACATGTTCATATCCACTAATGATATATCAAATTTGAAAATATTGACAGACTTTTTATACTAAAATAAAACCAAGGAAAGAAGTGTGATAAATGTAAGAAAACAATTTTCTGTACATTTACATCATATGTCCCATTCTGAACATTGCAATCCTGTTAATAGGCAGTAGAGTTGATTTTATGAACCCAATTTCCTTCTACATTTAGAGTTGTGATTTTTTTAAAGTTCATTTCATAAGAACCACAGGCAGAATAAATCTTGAACATTAGTAATTGGCTGTATGAAACTGCAAAATCTCATCTACCGAGAGTGTTTACTCCCTCTACACGAATCCCATGTGTTGATTGTCACTGTTGTATTTTTCATAATTTCAACTTCTATATTATTGTAGGGAGCTCTGGTGGTCCAGTGGCAAGAACTTGCACTACAATCCCAAACACTAGTTGTTCTAAACCACCAGTTGCTTTGTGGGAGAAGGATGGACAATCTCCTCCTACGCAATTTACTGCCCCTGAAAAGCCACTGGAGGGTCAGCTATGGGTCGGTTCCCACTTGACAGCACACAACAACAAAAAAAGTTAGCTTCTTTATCACATACAGAAGTTTGAAAAATGAATAGGGAAATATTTTTCATTTCACTGTCAATAACAATTGATTTCACTGTCAATAACATTGATTTTAAGATTTTTTTTTTTAGTAGTTGTTATTTTATTCATTTTTTTTTCTTTTTCATTTTCTCCTTTTTTTCCCCCTTCCCCCCCCCCCATTTGCTCCTCTCCTTGAAAAGCAAAAGAAAAACTCCCTCATTGGTACACACGCCCCCCCCACACCTCCTCAAACCCCACCCCCTACCCCCAAATATAATCCACTCTGCAACCCTCATTGCATAGATATTTTAAAGTATTATAACTACAATATTTTTAAAATTAAAAATTGCTAAATTTTATCAGCTAAAGACTCCAGAAACCTATCCTAAAAGGAAATTTAACTTGGTCTACATATTAAATATTGAAGTACAGGAAGCAATATCAAATCATAAACTTAAGTAAAATTTCTTTCCATACCTCTAACTGGCCGCTGTCACTTTTATCAAGTATTTTTTGCTCTTCATCTGTTGCCAGGTTTAAGTCTAGTTCTGCTGAAACATTTAGATTTTTAAATAAAATACGTATCTTAGACCAGTTAGGTAACATAGAATCTCTATAAAAATAGATAGTAAATAACATTTCACCAAATGAGAATTTAAATTAAGCTTAACCTTTAGTGGAATACTTATTTCTTGAAAAAATGGAAATAATAAAAAATTTGTCAAATCATTTGGAGAGTCACTAGATATCACAGATTTAAGAGATATAAAACATTTCAAAGATAAATTCTTAATGTCCATTTTCTTGTCATATAGGCAAAAATAAAAAAAATAGGATTATTATTGTTAAGTCCCATTGAGTTGGAAATGACTCACTCCTGATCCTCTAGTGGTTTTTCAGAGGGAGTAAGTCACATGGGAAAAGACTGCCCAGCTTTCTCCCACAGGTCAGCTGATAGGTTTGAACCACACTCCTTTGGGTCGGCAGTGCAACTCCTTACCACTAAGCCATCAGAGGTATAGTAGGGATACCAAATATATTTTCTTCCATAAAATAGTACTTTCTTTAGCACACTAAGCTTCAATTACAACATTATTTAGTTCCTAAAATTACTAATTTTTACTTCTATCAGTAGAAGAGGGAGTGGAAAGGAACTGCACTGCAATCCTGAAGGCATGCAGTTCGAATCCACCAGCTGCTTCACAGGAGAAGGATGAAAAATCTCCTTCTGTGCATGTGGTTAATTGTGTTTTAAAACCTGCAGCAGGGTCTGCTATGGGTCAGTTCTGACTCAATGGTACACAACAACAACAAACAACAATTAGTAGAATTCTGAGAAAGAATAGCAAAGAGACAGAAGCAATCCAAGTGTCCGTCAACAAATGAATGGGTAAAAAAACCCCCATGGCATATTTACACAACAGAATACTACACAGCACTGAAAAACAAGGACCTCATAAAGTATTATACAACATGTGTGACCCTGGAGCACATTATGTATAGCGAAATATCTCAGTCACAAAAGGACAAGTACTGCATAATACTACTATGATAACACAGGACTGGCATGGCAGTTGGGGAGAAACTAAGAAAAGTGGGGATAAATAATGAACACTGTGCAAAAAGGAATAAATGAAAGTCCAACCATTCATTAAAACCACAGTTAAAAAAAAGAAAGGTAGGCAATTTCCTCCCATGAGATTTACAGCTTCCTGAAAACTGGATGAATAGTCAGCTGTGAGTTGGTTTTCACTTGAGGGTAATGAGTTTGATTTTGATTAGCACACAGACTGTTTATTTTACATGAAATATTTTCACAACTATTTATCTGACAAAGTTATCTTCATTTTTTAATACAATCAACCATGTGAATTCTTCCTTGATTATGCATGTCTTTCCTCAGGTAAAGAAAAGTGTCCCTTACTTTAGTTTTTATACTAATAATTGAAAGATTATTCTCTTGTATTTTTTTATATCTGAAGCGAAATTATTGCTTGACATGTCTGTCCATATTACACCCAGACTTTCTAGAAGGCATGATCTTTAAATCATGATTGTATAAATAGTATTTGTTTACTTTACTCAGTAATTACTTCCTGAGTTTCTACTAAGTGCCAGGCATGAACTTTAAGGAAGGATATAGGAATATCTAGTTGAGAATGTACGTAAATGGTGTTAAAGTTGGCTTTTCTAGAGAAAATACCTGAGCTATGTCAGTAAGGTTGTTGTTGTTAGGATCCATCATATTGAGGACAACTCATGGCAAATCTTTGAACAACGGATCTGAGCCTTGCCCTATCCTGTGCCTTCCTCATCATTTCTGACATACTAGGGCCCATTGTTACAGTCACTGTGCCAATCTATCTTGTGGAGGGTCTTCCTTTCTTTCACTGATCCTCAATCTTTACAAGTTTGATGTCTTTTTCCAAAGAATGGGGCCCCATAAGAACATACCCACAGGTTAGCTGGAATCAATACGGTAATGAGTAGGGAATGATGACCACTTACAAGGCAGATGCCACACACAGGGGCAGTAGCAATACAGAGGAAAAACCTTAGAGTTTGGCAGGGATTTTGAGGGTGGCACCAGATAAGGCTAGGTTCTCATTTGTTGTTCATAGGGTTACTTTGAGTTCAAGTTGGCTAAATGAAAACTAACAATAAGTACTACTACTACAGATCTAAAAGGTAGAGACTGGTGATGCGGTTATCACTAGCAGTTAAGTCAAGCCAGGAAAATGAAAGAGAGGGTAAAGTGCTACAGAGAGAGAGCGAGTCACAGAAATAAACAACTAGAGACTTTCTAATTAGAACCTACATTTTAAACAAGGTTTTTAGTGATTCGTTAATGTTTCAGAAGCTCTGGTCTGTATTGAATTAGCTTCCTAAACTTATCCTTTTGGAATCTAGCCTCAATCTTCTCCCCTGTTCACTTAGTTACTCATTGCTGTCCAGTACTCATAAGCACACTCCCCAGCACTTTTTGAAGAAGAGATTATTATACATGTTCCTCTCAAAGAACCATAGGTGGATTCAAACCTCCAGAGGGGGTTGGCCTTTCGGTTAGCACCTCAATTTCTACAGACTGTTCAAAGCCATTCCTTTCTAATAGGCATTTTAACCAGGCTTTAGCATTCCCAAACTGGATCTCGCTTTTTCCTTCTTTAAATCTGTTCTCTGACAAATTCTAGAATTGGAATCTCACTTTATTGCCTTTCTACATTCTCATATCTTGTTCCTAACCATTTGCTCATACCACCTTCCACTATGTATTCCTGATTTCTTCTTCCTTCAATTACTACTTGTATTTCCAGTCTTCTTCATATTTTATTTCAACTACTTTTACTCCTTTCATTTTCCTTAATTACCAAATTTCCTTAGTTTATAAGGTGTTTTGAAAAGAAATGAATAGTTTAGCTTCTTTAGTGGCTACTCTTCAGCTCTTGCTGAAATCTTTGATCCTCCACAATTTACTTTTCTTTCTCATTCTATACACCTTTCTTTGGTTATGGGGATATATCAGTATTCATGCTTAAAGAAATATTCTGTCAAATGACTTCTCAAAAAATTATTATTTACCTTTTATGTGTCTATGCAGTTTACTCTCTGTTCTTTTATTTTTAAGTTGAGGTGGATAGACAACATAAATCGGTGGAACACTATCAGAAATAATCTGTTAAAATTAATGTAAAAATTAGTTGCACAAAGACTTGCTTTATCACTTCCAAGAATTCCTATTTTGAAAGTAATTATACTTTAAAATAAGAGAAGCATGTGCAAAAAGCCTAAACATTGAAATAGAGAAGACCATTTATACTTTTCAAATCAAGTTGATCTTTTATCGTCATTCACCTCTTGACACTAGAAACTAAGCAAAGCTCGGGGGAGATAGAAATCATACATGAAATAGTATTTATTGCAACAAGGAACTAACTTCAAAGAGCTAAATGTATTTTGCAATCCCCATTAGAAAATAAAACTAAAAATCTTCTGTTGTTGAGTCAGAAATGACTCATAGGTGACCATCCAGGGGGTATTCAGAGGCTGTAAATTCCAAGTGAGGAGAGTATCTATCTTTTTCCACCATAGTCGCTGGTGGATTGGATCCAAAATAAAGGCACAACTTTTAGGCTAATAGAGCAACTCCCTATGGATAACACCATCAGAACTTGCTCAAAAATAAAAGGCATTTAAAATATGTATTTAAACAAGTTTTTTAGTAAGTACATTTGTTATAACACAGATAGTAGTAGTAGTTGTTATTGTTATGTGCCATCGAGTTGCCTGCGACTTATAGCAACCTATGCACATCAATGCTAATCCTAGCCCTACCGTGAGCCAGTCTCATCATCTCTGACAGACCTTATCTCATTTCCCCAGTCACTGAGTCAATCCATCTCATCTGAGTCTTCCTCTCCTGTGCTGTACCTCTATTCATCCCTCCTGGCAACATATGCAAAATATGTGAGATGGAGCTTCAAAATCCTTGCCTCTAAGGAGCAGTTTGGTTTTCATCCTCCAGGAGAGACCTCTTTGTTCTCCTGGCAGCCCATCATGGTATGTTGAACACTTTTCTCCAGCACCACAACTCAAAGGCCTCGATCCTTCTGTCATTCTTAGTCATTGTCCAGCTCTGATGCATAGCAAGGAATTGTGAAGACCATGGCCTGGATCAGGTGCACCTTGGGCTCCAGACTGGTCGTTGCTCTTCAGTGCTCTAGAGAGCTCCCTGACAGCCGATTTTCCCAATGCAATTAATCTTTTGATTTCCTGACTGCTGGTGCCAAGAGTGTTTCAAAGAAAATCAAATCCACAAGAACCAAACAGTAGTGCAGATTTTAAAATAGAAAGTTTTAAAACACTCTATCTAGCATAATAAGGATCTTCACAGCATGCCACTCTGAATATCAACAGAGCATCTTAGAAGTTCCTTGATTTAGGTAAAACAAGAATTTATTAGAACCCAACTAGTTCCTCCTAATAAAATCCAGCTTCTTGAATAATTTGCTCAGCGTGCAGATTGAATACGTATATAGAAAGAATACAATTATGACACACTCCCTTCCTAATTCCAAACCTGTAGTGTTCCCCTGCTCCATTCACATAACAGCCTCCTGGACCAGATACAGGTTACACAGTGCTCTGAGATTCTCATTCTTCTCAATGTCAGCTATAACTTGACATGATACACACAGTCAAATGCCATTGCATAGTCAATAAAGCACAAATAGGCATTCTTCTGGTATTCTCTACTTTTAGCCATGATCCATCTGGAATCAGCAATGATATCTCTGGGGCTGTTCTAAATTCTGCTTGAACTTCTAGCAGTTCCTTATCTATGTACAGTTCCAGCAATTTTTTAATGATCTTCAGCAGCATTCTGCTTTAATGAGACATCATGATATTGTCTGATAATTTCCACATTCAATTGAATCACCTTTCTTGGGAATGGGAAAAAATATGGATCTCTTCCAATCAGTTGGCCAAACAGCCATCCTCCAGATTTCCTGGCATAGACTGTTGAGTGCATCCAAGGCTGCATTTGTTAATTGAAACAAATCATTTGGTATCCCATAGATTCCTTGGGCCTTATTTTTCACCAATGCCTTCAATGTAGTGTTCTACTTTCTCCTCAATTAACTTTGGCTCTTGTTCATATAGTACTTCCTGAAAATTTTCAGTGTCAATCAATTCTTTCTGGTACAGTGACTCATGTACTACCTCATATCTTCTTTTGATGCTTTCTGGGTCATGCAATATATTGTTCATAGCATCTTTCAGTATTGCAATATGAGGCTTAAATTTTTTTTTCAGTTCTTTCCGCTTGAGAAATTCAGAGTGAGTTCTTCCCTTTTATTCTCCAATTCCAGCTCTCTGCCCATTCCATTATAATACTTCGCTTTGTCCTCCCAAGCTGCCCTTTGAAATTGTCTGTTCAGCTTTTCACTTCGACATGTTTTCCTTTCGGGTGACTTCTCAATGCTCCAGTGCAATCTTTAGAATCTCGTCTGACATCTATTTCAAGTTTCTCTTTCTCTTCTGTTTTTATAATGTCCTATTGTTTTTTCCTGGATGATATTCTTGATCTCATCCCACAACTC